TGTTGCCGAATAATGAGCATTTCTACACCGTGATGGATGAGATAAGTAAATTCGTGCTCTCCGACAATTGATAAAATTGACTTATACCACGCGATGATATATAACCTAAGCTTGACATCCCCAGAATAATGAAGGGGTTGTTTGCAGTTTGTAAGATTGTGTAGCTATAGTAATTTACTGTTGTATTGATAATTGTGGCACTAAGATCCTGCTTTGGCCTGGTTCGTTTCCGACGAGGGCTAGGCTTTGGTTGTTGGATGCAAAGGAGTGTGTGATTCTGCATCTAGCTGGATCATCGTATTTTGTTAGTTGGTTCGATAAAGCTTTTGCAGACAGCAGAATCTATTAACTAAAGTTTAGCAGTCCTATGAATGTTAAGATCCAAGGATTCCGGCTTCTGGCCACAACGAAGAGGAGGACCGGGGGTTGTTGGTGTAACATCTCTAGTGGCTGATCGACGATTCAGTGACTTGCTAATGTAATATATAGCTAATTATCGGAACATGGATGAAAAAAATTATCCATGGAATCGTTGTTCTTGTAATGTTTATATATATGTATGTTCTAAGATTATATAAGATGTTTGTGTACTGGCAGTTGCCAATTGTTTGTTCTGCTCTTAAGCATGTTAAGACATGTTTAAGACCAGTGGATATTTATGTTGAAATCTCTGTTCAAATTTTCTGTGGATTTGAAACTCCTCAGCCTCTAATCTGCTACATTCTGTTGGTAATTAATCTGTGAAGATGTCTTCTTTTTTGACAGAGATTCGCTCCAAATCTCATTGTCCGAAGATAAACGATCAATCAATCTGGACCGTTCAAATAGATGGTCTCGATTAATTTATTTCATTGGTTCACCTCATACAAACTAAGGGCTTTAATTTTTCTTACACACAAACAAATGACTCAAATTTTTTGATCCTTAGGCTCCAAACACTAAGGTCTAGAGAGGATCCAAACCCCTTCTTTTCCTCTTATCTTTTGGAAAAAGAAGAACTGCCTTGTCTTTTGAAGAATTTGAGTGTAACATCATCCACACAAGCTGCTAAGCATGGGAAGAAGGGTATGTATGGGTAGGAGTGATTCAGCCTTATCATCGGATAATATCTCCGTTTGAGTTTGATTCGAGAAATTCTCTTTTGTCACCAATCATCACATGGCAAGCTTTGATTGAATGGTAGTTCCTTTTTTGAACACGTGACAAATGTCTATTGGACAGGTGATTTACTTTTTGAATACGTGACAAGCGTTTATTGAATGATGAAGACATTAGAAGGATGCATTAGTTGCAAAAGAGTTTTTCTTGTCTCACTCATCCCGTATATCTATGGCTATAGCCAAGATCTTTCCATACGAGTAGGAGTGATTTTACTTTTTCACCTGCTATATATCCTTATCTTTTATGTCTCAATCATCACGTGTATCTTTTACCTTATCCGATAACTTCTGGTATAAAAAAAGAATAATTCTGCTTTATCACCAGGCGGTACATTCCATCAAAGCATCTCACTGATCACATATATCTCTCACTCTTAGACAAGATTTTTTCTATTGAGAAGAGTGAAGAATTGTATTTACATTTTCGAACAAGTGACCAAAGGCCTTCACAAAAGGCAGAAAGGAAAAAAAGAGAGCAATTGGCTAAAGGACAAAGTTTATAAGCACCAAAGTACAATCTAATAGTCACATCCAAGCATCTTTCTATGCATGTACGATTGAAAGAGGAAAACTTTTTTAGTATGCCGGAAATACTATTTAATACAGCGAGTATAATAATATAAATATTCATAAATTTAATCAATTGTACCATGACGTTGAAGATAATAGACTCTGTTAAAAATAAATCAATAGAAAGTGGGTTACTTTAGTCCTTAAAGCCCTTCTTTTATTGGCTGACAGAACAAAAAAAAAAAAAAAAAAAAAAAAAAACAGATTAAACAACCCTAGGTGTGCAAAAAGTTTTTTAGGTTTTGAGCTAGTGTTTTCATAATACCTACAATTAACCACTTTAAGAGGTGACCCTAATGATAATATTTAAAGGATTTGACCCAAGATTTTTCAAGGAAAACTGAAAATCTTTGTCCCTAATTCTCAATAGGCTGCAAAATGATTGAAAAATAGTTCATATTCGGGACTGATAGAGACTGATATATTCGTTCATGCTTGTCAATTCAGGAATTGAAGGCCTCTTGTTTATCCATGGAAAGAAATATTGTTAGGGGAACTTCGTTAAGGCTGCTTACGAGAAAAACTTGAGCATGACAAATCAAACAATTATCACAAAAGGTGAGAAACTCAGATTGTCTATAACGAAAGTTGTGCTTACGTGGAGTCGAAAAAGTAGCGAAATACAGTAAGACATGTTTTTTGGAAGAATATCTCATTGTTCAGCTAGTCAAATAACTATCATATCGTGTGAGATAGCGTAAAATTAAGAATTTTAAACTTTTATAAGAAATGTACAACAGATAACATGACTGGATGTCGTCAACAAACTTGTTAGCTCGGAAGTTGAGGGAGGAGAATGCAAAAGATAGACTTGTTTCTAAAGGAAAACAGAAGTCCCAAATTAGTGGTGGTTGGCTTTTGGGTTGCTTTTTCTAAAGGGACCACGTTTGGAATCAAACAATGAATCTCATCATCTGTGGGAGTTGCTTTCTACACAATGATTTAAAAAACCCAGCACAGTAAGACACAGCTAAGCTTCTGAAAAAGACATGATGAACCCTAGTTTTAACTTGAATTAATTAACAATTAATTATGTTTTAGATTAAGTTAATCAAAACGCATGCTATTAGTTAATTGACAAGAGAGAAAGACAAGTGGTTTATTTATAGATAAGTTGAGGATTGCCTAACACACAGTGCAGTCGTCAGCCACTATGCAAGTTTCATATCAACCAACAATGTTATCGGATCAAGTGACATTTGCAAAATCTTAATTTTGGTAATAATGTCAAAGAATTCATGGATTTGGAGACGTATGATTCGTTGGTTGAATCACTCGATGCGATATGTGGCCGCTTCGTCGTCAGCATATGCTTATCTATTGAGTCGTCGAATGATAAAAGTTGATAGATGAAGATGAAAGTGTTTTCAATAAATACAGATATTTTATTGTGACTGATACGCACTAATTATGCATTGTTGTCCAACATACTTATCTATTGAGTTGTTGAACAATAGCAGTTGATAAATGAAATGAAAGTGTTTTCAAAACATATTTTGGTGTGATTGTTTCGCATACCGTGGCTGCTTTTTTGTCAAAGTATGCTTATCTATTGAGTTGTTGAATGACAGAGGTTGATAGATGAAGATGAAAGTGTTTAAACACACATATATTTCGGTGTGACTGTTAAACACTAATTATGCATTGTTGTCAATATACTTTCTATTGAGTTGTTGAATGATAAAAGTTGATAGATGAAGATGAAAGTGTTTTTAAAACATAGATTCTCATTGTGACTGCCACACACTCATTTACACTCTCGTCATCATACTTATCTATTAAGTTGTTGAATGATAGAAGTTGATAGATAAAAGAAACTGTTTTTACACATATATGTCGGTGTGACTGGCACACCTAGTTATACACCGTGGTCAGCATATTTATTTACTAAGTTGTTGAATGACAGAAATTGAAAGATGAAGACGAAAGTGTTTTTAAAACACGAAAATTTCAGTGTGACGGCCACGCACGGATTATATACTGTCGTCAACATACTTATTTACTAATATTATACATTGTTGATCTTAATTTATGAACATAGAGTACATGGATCATTAATATTATGTGATTGTGTGATGGTAAGACGCAACTGCATGATCTTACAAGTTACAACTATTCTAAAAAGCTCTCCTTAAAACAAGTTGATAATAATGAAGTTAAATTATCTTTAAGTTTTCCAGCGATAGTCTTAAAGTCGATAATGAAACTAAATGGTTTTTAAATTTCCAAGTGATCGTATAAAAGACTCTAAACTTAACTAATCTAATCAAAACAACAGATGACGATTCGAACTTAAGTTATGAATGAGAGACACGCTGCTTGAGCCAACTTGTCTACAACTGTGTCTGCAGTACACATGAAATTTTTAGTGGAAAAGACTACAAGTTCTGAATACAGAGCTTTGTTATGGGCAAAGGCATAGGAACCCAAAGCCCACGGAAGGAAAAGGCTTAGGAGCCAATACATACTTCTCCAAAATAGCAGGCTTCTCTTATATACATTCATTGAGCAATGGACGAGTACAATCTGAAAAAAAACATAGTAAATTAACCATTCATTGGAAATAGTCTACTAGCGGGCGGATATCGCCCTCTCTACCTCTCCCGTCACGTGAAATTCTGGGAAACGCTTGATCTTTCAAAAGTTCCATTTGCCATCAACTAAAACGCAAAACAGTTGACCACTGAACGGTTAGCTTGAGCCTTCGTGCAATGTTGACGCAATTATTTTATTGCACAACAAACACTAACATTTGACCAGTTATATCTCCGCATTAGTATATATTTCATCACATAACGTGTGTCACACGATGATATATACGGGAGATAACATGGGAATATATACCGGTGATACCACAGTTGTACCAAGCCAAAAGGACAGAGAACCCCCTTGATTACAGGTTGAGAAAGATAGTTTCCTTGCATACAACATCGATTTTGTAGTGCGAGTAGCGTAGGAGCATCCGAGTGGAAGCGACTGATCTAACAAGCATATGTTTACCAGTTCCATGTGGAATGACACAGATCATATGAACATCAATAGGAAGGAAGCTAACGTTGTAACGAAATTGCACAAACGGATATGGAGAACAAGATTTGGTATTCATATTCCTTCTTACAGAAAAAAGACAGCATATCAAAGTATCCCATGAGACCGATTTCTGCAACAAAAACATTATTATCTAGATTAGAAGTTGTTAAGGGACAAACATGACATGACATTGCCATGCTGCTTGATCCAAGAACAAAATTGTCTACCAAACCGAGCCACTCAGCGTGATTTGGAAACATATGCAATTGAAGCTGCAGCAATAAGGGTTGTCACCGAGGAGATCAGAGTCCAGAAACTCTTCTTCGTCTGCGCCTCTGATGACTTCTGCAGAGACTCGAGTTGTTTCTGCAAGTCTCCAACCATCTTCTCCTTGTTTCTGAAAGCATTCTGTATGGCATCCAACTCCGCCACATATGGCTGAATTTCTTCCCCAACATTGTGATCACTGGTAGCCACTTCTTCCTTGCCCTTGGATGTTGAAGATATGTGTGCTGTGGTGTTCTTCAGCATAGTCAAAGCTCGCGTCAACTTGGTTCCTTCTGATTCAAATTTAGCCTCCCAATCACGAATTTTCCTCTGAGCCTCGACAAGGTTCTTCTGCATCAAATCTTTTTCCTTAACCAATGATTCCGACCGGCTCTCCATGGCCTTGTTTTCCTCGGCAATGTTCTCACTAACACTCCTCAGTTTCTCCAACTCTTTCTTGATTTCTTTAATTGTCTTCTCCCTCCCCGAAATAGTCAGCATTAAGTCTTCCACTTTCTTCTTCTCCCCATCCAACTTCTTCAGAGCCTCTGCCTTCTCCTGCGTAACACGATCAAGGGCATCTTTATATTGACTAACTTCAGAAACCAACCGCGCATTCTTGTCCTTCTGCTCGTCGGATGAATTTTGCAACGTACACACAAAATCCCTTTCTTTTACTACTTGACTTATCAATTCAGCAATTTCTTTCTCTTGCTTCACTTTTGCCTCCTCAATCTCACTCTTCTTTAGCTCGATTTCCTTGATTCTTTCCTCCTTTTTCTTCAATTCCTCAGTAACCATATCCAAAAGTTGCTTCTGTGATTTTACTTCTTCATTTAACTTCTCGAAACTCTGCTCCTTCTCCCTCTTCTCTTCCCCCAAAACCTTAATCTCCCTCTCCAGCACCTCTCCCGTCCCCATAGCCTGCTCAACACTCTTCTCCAACTCCAAAACCTTCATCTGCAACGCTTCATTCTCCTTCCTCAAACCCAATTCTATATTACTCAACTGTCCCGCTTCATTCTCCAATTGAAAAATCCTTGCTTCCTGCCCGGTCTTTTCCTTCTCAATCTCATTCTTTTCTCTCACAACCCTCTCAATCTCCCTCTTCAAGTCCTCGATCGCTCTCTCCGACTCAGCATGCTTCATCTCGGCCAACTCCTTCTCTCTCATTGCAATTTCAACCTCCCTTTCCTTCCCAAACTTCTCCTGCACCAACCCATCACATTGCACTTTCAACTTCTCAAATTCCTCGCCGAAAACCCTCTCTTTCTTCTCCATTTCCACCACTTTCAACTTCAACTCATTCGCCTCCTCGGCCACCCCACCAAAATCTCTCTTCACACAATCCCTCTCCCGGCACACTCTGCTCAGCTTCCCCATCTCGATTTCGAGCCCACCGGCAAGCTCCTCCACATCCCTCTTCAGCCCCACAATCTCACCCTCTCTCTCACTCATCGCCTTCTCAACCTCAGCTTTCTCTCTCATCATTTGCCCCAACTGGGCCAGAACAAAAACACCATAAACACTCATTTCCAACTCCAACCCAACATTTTCCTCGCTCTTCCAACTCAACTCGCTCACAAGCGACTCGCTTTCCACCCGGAACCGACTCAGCTGGGACTCCAAACCCGCCTTGGCCTGCACCAGAGCCTCCACCTGCTGCCGGCGGTCCTTGGTCTCCTTGAGCAGCAGAGAGTTGAGGGACTTGAGGTTCTCGAGCTTCTCGGAGGGCTCGTCCATTGTGGCGGCTTTGTGGGCAGTGTGGTGGGTTTCTTCTTTGGTGTCAATGGGTTGATGGGTCACTTTCTTTTTGCCCATTTTTTGCGGTTGATGTTGGTGGTGGGAAATGTGAGATTGGGGTTTTGAGAGGATTAGGGTTTTTTTCTAGGGTTCCAATGGCTGAGATGTGGCCTGTGGGGTGGGGGAACATTTATAAGGGATAGGGATTTGTGAGAGGAGAGAGAAATTGTGAGGAGAGAGAGAGAGACAAAGAGAGATGTTTAAACGTTTTGAATTTGGGGGGATGGGTTAGCATTCACATGAAGTGCTAAACCGTCAAACCAAAACCTAAAAACTTAACGGCGTTTGTACTCCAAACCCCCAAGACGCCGCCGGCACCGTCGTTCTGCGACTGCCAAGGCTGCCCCTGCTTCGACTACGACCATTTTCCCGCCACTTGCTATGCTCTGGTTCTTGGACTAAACCAGAGCAGAGCAATTTGCTTTCGAACTCCATCTTCTTTCCTCTTCACCTTCGAATTCCATCACTTTTCCCAGCACTCTTTCTCTCTCTCCCCCCACCGGAAGCACTGTGATTCCGGCGAAAGCTCGTCGCAGTTCCGGATGTAAGAGACGACATCGAGACGGCGTTTCGGTTGACTTTTCGGTTTTCAATACTCTGTTTAAACGTGAAAATGTTCAAAGGTAAGATCCAGCTGTCAACTTTTTATTGGTCGGTACTCTACCTGTCAGTGCGTGAGTGTTTCCCCCGGAAAATTCTTCAAACTTTGGGCCCATTGGGCCCTCTCAGGCCCAGGGATTGAGGACTTTGGTAGCTGACTGTTGGGTGGGGTGTATTTTTTTATTTTATTATCGAATTTATTTTTGTTGTTTGGAACTCTGTCGTGCGGCCACGTGTCTCAGTTCTGCATGTGGCATTGTGGATCCTCTTATGGCGGTTCTTTCTTGGGGGACCATCAATAATTAGATTGTCATTATTTTCCATAGAGAGGAGAATGAGCACAAAATATTTATTTTGTTGCGTCGATCGAAATATGTTTGGTGATGATTAATGAGTAGTGAGTGCTGCTCACTTATGGTGAAATATTGTTTGGTGATGATTGGTGACTGATGAATAGTGAGTACTGCTCATTTATGGAGAAATTATTGCTCTAAATGACTGGATTGTTCGGATTGAAAAATTTTGTATAAATTGAGGAGCACTCACTACTCAATTCTGCACTTGGCATTGTGGATCCTCTTACAGCGGTGCTTTCTTAGGGGGCCATATGTCAACAATTAAATTGTCATTATTTTCCATAGAGAGTATAATTAGCACAAAATATTTATTTTGTTGTGTCGATCGAAATATGTTTGGTGATGACTGATGAGTAGTGAGTGCTGCTCACCTATGGAGAAATAGTGTTTGGTGATGACTGGTGACCGATGAGTAGTGAGTACTGCTCACCTATGGAGAAATTATTGCTCTAAATGATTGGATTGTTCGGATTGAAAAAATTTGTATAAATTGAGGAGCACTCACTACTCAATTATGCACGTGGCATTGTGAATCCTCTTACGGCGATGCTTTCTTGGGGGACCATATGTCAATAATTAAATTGTCATTATTTTCCACATAGAGTAGAATGAGCACAAAATATTTATTTTGTTGTGTCGATCGACATATGTTTGGTGGTGACTGATGAGTGGTGAGGGCTGCTCACCTACGGAGAAATAGTGTTTGGTGATGACTAGTGACACTGATCGATGAGTAGTGAGTGCTGCTCGCTTCGGATTGAAAAAATTTGTATAAATTGAGAAGCTGTATGATAATTATTTTATTTTTAGTTTTTTTTAATTAAATTGAAATTTTGTTTGATAACTCCTCCAGTTTCGGGATGAGGTTTCAAAAAATCAAAAATGAAAAATAATTTCTTTGAGTTCTTAAAATTTGGCCTTAAATTTTTAGTTTTTGGTTTTTAGTTTTCAATTTTATTTTATTTTTTATTATTTTATTTTAGTACATCGATATTTTTACACTAAGGAGATGTGGTGTTCAGCTAAGCCACATAATGGGCAGAATTTTTAGTTTCTGGTTTTTAGTTTTCAATTTTATTTTAGTACATTGATATTTTTACACTAAGGAGATGGGGTGTTCGGCTAAGCCACATAATGGGCAGTCTAATTTGGTATCAAATTCGCCATCCACGAGATTCGAACCTAATACCTCACACTTCCAAGTGAAGAAAAATACCACCAGACCATAGTATTGAGTGACTCAATTTAATTAAAAGTGGTTGCCAAATAAGATTTTAATTAAAAAAAAAAGTGAAAAGTAAAAACCAATACCTCAAAACTCAAAACGAAATGGTTATTAAACACATATACCTTGGCTAATGTAAGCCATTCATAAGAATTAAGAAATCAAATATTGATCGACAAGACCGTTTTATCACCGTAACATTATTCTTTTTAAGGAAAAAATACTATAGATGCAAGATATAGAAGGGAAATTAATAATTTCTCTTTTGCAAGATATAGAAAGGAAAAATGATCTCTGCACACTTTTGTTTCCCTTTTGTCATGCCCGCCTAAACTTAATTTTGTCCCTTGAACTACCTGTTAGTTGAATTAACGCATTTGCATGGCTTAGAAACACAACAGGGTATTCCTGATGAAAATAAACTGCTAATCTTGTCGCAATTAGTTTGTCACTTATCTCTGCTGTCTAGTGGTTTGTCTTCGCTTGTAAGTAAGAGATTTTAATTTCGATTCTCGTTTATGGCGAGTCCGAACCAAATTATTATGAATGACTTATTATGCGGTTTAGTACAAATCCTCCATCCCTCAGTGTAAACATAATATATATATATATATATATATATGTTATCATATTGAAAAGGCTGTAAATAATCTTTAATTAAAAAAATGCAAAAATCATTTCTTATATACATTTTTTTTTTCAAATAGAGAAAAATTATGTGATATTAGCTCTTCGGCAAAAGGTTACTTGCGAAAAAAGACTACTACACCCAAAAACCCCCCACACTTCACTCATCCACCGAATTTACAAATGCATTACTTATCACTACAACTTTCATATATAAGTAGGAAGTGAAATTAAGTAATAGGAAGAAAAACTCACAAAATGCAATGATAAAAAAAGAAGAAGACAATAGTTGCCTTAGTCTTCATGTTTTCTGGACTGTGTCACATTTTGAATTGATAAGATGATCAATTAGTGATTGTTTTGCACTTTAGCAAGTGAGCCCTTTGCACTATATTTATATTATGGATGTTTCATGTTTATGGTAGAAAATTACAAAAACTAAGTTAGATTTATAAAAGAACAGAATTCTGAATTTTGAGAGTTATTTCTAAATTTTCTTGTATGGTATCACCCGTATCACCCAAAAAATATATTTCATACAAAATGCAAAAGTATATGAACTTTCTATAATTTAAAAACAAATGGCGAAAAATAGGAATAAAAAAAAAAAAAAAAAAAGAATGGTACACCATATTAGTAAAAAATGTGATTTCTTGACATTTTCCTTTGTGAATATGATATTTGTTGATATCACTAAAACAAAAATAGAGGCGTTTTGATATAGTTGCCTTGATTTTGAATTTTTAAATCAAACAAAAGTTCAAAGCCAAATTTTTTTTGTGGTCTTTGTGGTGACACGCTAATTTTAAATTGACTCTTACGATACAAAAGTTGATGTGTGGATGATAATTATAGGTGGTAAATTCATATCAATTTTTGATCTATTCATTTTGAACTCATAATTTAAGGGTATATTCATATTTTCATATCAACTTTTGGTTATTTTTCCAGATTTCTCAAAACCATTAGCAATTATACAGCCCCACCCTTCACTGACCGCTCTCGCCAGCCAAAACCACCCTTCATAATTTAAGGGTATATTCATATTTTCATATCAACCTGCCCAGACAAGGGCACTTCAGTGCTGTGTGGTGACATTAGTAATCTGTTTCAACAAGACAGCAATCCGTATGGAGAGTACAATATCTTTGGAGATCCTTTTGCTGCAAACATGGTATATAGTTGTTTGATGGTCATTCTGTGCTTAACGTACAATATTGGTAGTGATCATGAACAAATCAGGTATTACATTGTGGTGTCCCGGTCACGCTAGTTCCTCTGGATGCAACAAGAACGATTCCTCAATATGAGACTTCTTTCAAAGCATTTGAACAGAAACAGGAGAAATACGAAGCACAATGTAGCTTCCAGTCCTCGAAAATGGTTCGTGATACATGGTGGAATGATGAATGTTATAAGGCTTTTCTTCTATGTATGAGCTAAAATTCTGAAACGTTAAGATGATTGTCTACCTCTGATATATATTCATGAGATACTGACTATTTCGCAGGAATTTTCCATATGGGATCCTTTTATGGTTGGTGTAGCGCTATCTCAAATGCGTAATTTAGAGAAAGATCACAGAGAAAATGAATTTTCCAAATTGGAATACATGAACCTCGCAGTGATAACTTCAAACAGACCTTATGGAATGTCAGACGGCTCAAACCCTCTGATCATTGGTGGGCGTTTGATCCCAAAGTTCGGTTTACAGAAGAATGGGGTAATGGGAATGGAATACCCGTTTTGCCTCTTCGTGTAGCATTGTCCAAAGTTCAGTTGGTTGTTACACCAGTTTCTTTGTTATACATTTACCGATTTCTTGATAATTCTACGCCTTTTAAGATGTAACAACCAACTGAACTTTGGACAATGCTACACGAAGGAGACAACTGGCGCGGAAGTAGTTAGCGTATATATTGCAACAGAAGCTAAGCGTGATCATGACAGTAATAATACTCGTGCCAAAGATTTACGATAGTTTCTTGGATGTAAGCTAGTTCTGGACTACAACGCACCAATTTTTAGGTCAATATGTGTTCTCCATTCAATTAAGACATACAAAAATTTCTTGGATAACTTATTTCCTTTTGTACTTGATAGATAATGGTAACTTCAATAATTGAGTCAAATGCAGGTTAAAACTCGACCTAAGAAACTGGATGGCCGAATATTATAACACAGCATCCACTCCACGAGAGTGTACAGACTTTGAAAACAAGATTTTGGAAAGAAGTTATTGGGTAAATCCCTAGTATTTGATATAATATGAGTGCTGGAGACTTTCTAGCTCTTCTAAAATTACCTGTGGAGCGGATCAACCTAAAGGTATGATACTGCCTTCATAAGCTTTCTGAGGTTTGGTGCTAGTGCTACACATGCACTAATACAAATGAATAGCTTAACTGAGTAGTTTTGTAGGACGGCATGCTAGCAATTACACATTTTTGCAGGGCAACATACATGCCTTTGAAGATGTAGCTCTTAATATACAAAATGATGTCTCCACAGAATACAAGTTAGTGCTAATGGCTGGGCAACCGCTGCAACCATAGATGTTGTTTATGACATACTACATATATATGATGGGCCGTGATGATATTCTGGTTGGTCTCGGAAATGTGTTTGAAGTTGGTCAATATTATTCATCTTTCGCTTCCCTCGGACAGCCAATTGCAATAGAGGTGTGGAAGACCATTGTAAAATCACTCGATCCAGGATTACCTTGTTGACCAATGGACCTTTGACAAATTTAGCTGAAATCATTCTTTCGGAGAATGCAGACTCAGTGGTCCAAGTAAATGTTGTCGCTATGAAAGATTATGCCTCAATTTTTATGTCATGCTTTGATACTGGATTGACATTTTCATTGTTATGATTTCCTTGCAGGATGTATATATTGTCGGGGGACACATACGCCACGGTAACGAACAAGGTAATCTGTTCACTATTCCTTCAAACAAAAGATGGCATACAAAAGTTGTTCCGCGAATCATTAACTGTTTATCACGGTAAAACCAATTTGTCAATATGAAGAATAGTCTAACCTTTTGTAAGCCCTTGCATAATTTGATCCCTCACTGATGTGGGACTTTGTTCCTGACATTCTCACTCAATGGACATTTGACAAATTTAGCCGAAATCATTCTTTTTGAGAAAACATATTCAATGATCCAGGTAATTATTGTCACTATGAACATGCAACTGGATACGCTTATTTTGTCAAAAGGAACTTTGGTTTTTGTTGATTGAGAAATTTAAGTCTCAATTTTTTATTTGACATTTTTAATTCGAAGCCATTTTCACTGTTCTCCTTGTAGGATGTATATATCGTTGAGGGACACATTCGCCATGATAATTAACGAAAAGGAAATCTGTTCACTGTTCCTTCAAATGAATACGAAGAATTTAACATGTTTCTTAACCCTTTGGCTGCAAAGGCAGTGTTCGATTCGAAACTGAACATAACACTGATTCCTTGAGAACCCAGAAGCAAGTCAGTTCCTTCCAGGATATGCTTGATAAATTGCAGCTAACAGATAGGACTCCTGAAGCTGTATTCGCCCAGCGTCTACTTCCGAGGCTATGAAAACTGAAACTGAATCATCATAGATACCCTCACATGGTAAAGTTCCATAAAGTCAGTTTTTTCTTATTCTGTTAATCTTTCCATCTGATTAAATTCAAGTTTCTATAGTTCCGCACTGAGTAGATACGTATTAATTCTATATCGAATGATGGATGTTCACATTGTAATGTACCATAGAGCAGATTATCCATGTATCAAATTTAACGGTCATACATGCTCCCATGTCACCAAATAAGAAGTTTCATTACATTTGTCAACTACACTACTTGACTTCGAAGAACTCACTTTCTTTCCGTTCTGTCATTTCACAGGACACATTTCTGGGGGAAATCCTTGGAGCTGTAATCTTGGGCGGCAAGAAATCTCAGTTAAACCAAATCTATGAGTTTAAACCCCTCAAGGTCGTCACGAAGGAGAAATTTTTCAGTGTGCCTGGAATGGGGCGCAATATACCGAGTGTCATAATATAATTGGTTGAAATTTATTTTTCAAGTTTACAATCAATTGTATGTTACACTTAAGTGTATAGAATCATGTTTTCAACGTACTAAAAAATGTCTTGTCGGTCGCAGAGGGAGATGTGTCAGAAATCCGGCAGCTGCTTATCTATGAAAATAATTAAACATGGTTAAGATATTGAGCAGTGTAAATCCAGATGCATATTATGAACAATTTGCTAAAATATTTAGTGAGCAACAGCAGACTTTTATGTGGGAAAAAGGAGTATGGGTTTTTTCCTTGATAATTCCTACTTGATTTGTTACATTCTTGATCTTTCTAAGCCATTTTTGTTTGACAGTAAAGAAAAACTACAAGGAAAGTTAGAAATCTGAGAATACTCTTTCTCCATTTTTTCAACCTTGATTTTACTATTTCATGTAAGTAATTCTTGACAGGGGTCCATCCTCTAAGCCAGCTTACAATAATTTACCCTCCTTTGTAACTCTTATTTTCATTCCTGCCCACTTTGTTTTCTCTTATCTGATTATGACGATATTTAAATTAATCTAATTTAAACTACAAAAAAAGGAATCGAACTCTAGTGCATAAAATAAAGCAAACCGTTTTAGTCAACTTGGTTAAACCCAGTTTCAGTAGTTGGAAGATATCTCCATCATCCTACTCAACCAAATCATGAATAAGGATTGGAAGTGAATCATGGAATTATGTGGAATATTAGGTTGATTTCATAATATATTCCTACTATTTTCCATTCAAATGTAGGTGCATATTTGTCAACGTATAGGGTGGCTATCCCTACTTCAGAAGCATGGTTTGTTTTGATCATTCTCTTTCCAATAATCCTGCTACTTCCACAATAATTTGGTTATCACAATTATTAATTGGAAGAGCAAAACCAGCACCTCACTTCATCCAAAAATAATTAGAACAGAACTCTGTTTTTCAATGTTTAAATTATTTTTTTTTAAAAGTGGGTTTATCTTTGGACGATCATTGGCCAACAAGGCTTTTCACTTTGCAAGGGTCAGAAGGAGAGGGGGGGAGGGAACGTCTATTGTACGCAACCTTACCCTTTGCTTTACAAATAGATTGTTTTCATGACTCGAACCTGTGATTTGTATCATGGATGTAACAAATGTAATAATCGAAACTACTTTTAAAAGTATGACGTTCCATGTATATATTCTGTCGATCATACCTAACTATATTTTGATCCATTCTGATTTGAAAACTTCCCTAATCAATCAGCGCTACCAAAATTTCTCTAGTTCAATAAGCAGTGTGGTCTAGTGAATCGTCAGGCAAGAAAAGGAATACAAAAATATAAGATACGGTTGGACGAAGAAGAATAAAATCATACATAGAAGATACTTTGGCATTTCAGCATGCATGTATATATTATTAATGGCCGTTGTTTCCACACTACCCTCCTCCTCCAGAGTGTCCTGTCGATTATCCCACGAGTTAATTAAAATTAATTAGTACTTCTCATTCAACTAATCATCCTAACAAACTGGATTTGCCCTCCTTTTTTGATACCATAATATAATGTCCTTACCACTAGGTATATATTCCCTCATAATTTTCTAATTAAATGTAAGCAAAATTTAAAAAAAAAAAAAAATATGCTAATTAGTAATTAACCAACAACCCAATAAAATGGCTGGTGGATTTTAATTTAGAGTAAATTTAGAATCGGTTCTTGATCTTTTTCACACTAGTTTAGATTTGATATTTGACCTAAAAGTTAGTTTGAGGTCCAAGAGTATAACAAAACGTGCACAATTTCTCCATTTGTTAGACATTTTTGTCAATTTGATTACGTGTCATGAGCAAGGACCCGCAATTGGTCCCTAAATTTGTACCTTAGTTTAGATTTGGTTCCTAAATTCTCACCTTAGTTTAAATTTAATCCTTGAACACATATTAATTAGTAGGACCCGTATATGTGTCATATTAGCATATTATCATTAGTTTTTATATAAGTTAACAGCAAGTAACTAATGATACATGCTTTTACTAAATTCGTAGACATCAATTAACGAATTTTTAGTTTAGGAATCAGTTGTAAACTAGAGTGAAAATTTAGAGAATAATGAGTGATGCAATATTTTTTGGCAGAGAAGCTACCAATTTCCTCTTTTAAATTGATGAACATTGAGGTAGAAAGGATTCATTAATTCACATTTTTTGCCATATAAATCAGTTCAACTCAACTTCTTTTGAGCCCCAAGCAATTTGGAGGCTCAACCAAATAGGAGATGAACAAAAAGAAGAAAGTAAAAATAGCAAGCTTCGCTGCATATCCACAGCCCCACAATGTGCTTCCCTCAGTTATTTAATCTGCTGATATCATAAACTTCCCTTCACTGGATCGATCTCTCACCATTTTGCATTACCTTGGAAGCGAACCGCCAGCCGCCACAACCTGTCTCTGCAGCTACAGGTGAACGAAGTAGAACATGATCAAAGCTTTGATACTAATTAAGACCTAGCAAAAAGGCTTGCTTTAATATGAAACAAATATTTCAACTACTCACCTCAAAAAGATTTTCCAGTTTATTTTTCACAAGTAAATACTCATGCTTCACCTGCTGCAGACATTTTATGCACCTACACCAATATTATATTTCATTCAAAATTTCATATATACATGCAAATTTTTCCCAATGTTACTCAAGCAGGGTTCAGAATTTGAATATTTTCACAATCATGAAAGATTACCATTCGACGTTCTGCTCATCGCAGAAGTTCCGGAATGAAATGCAGGCCCTCTGAACTCTCTGAGCACCAATGCTGTTAATTCAAGAGAACCAGTTTTCTTCATCAAACACCAACGGAAGAAACATAAATACAACATACACAAAACTACTAAAAAAATATAATAAAATAAAATTTCTTCTTAGAAAAATTTATACTTTCAGCTCAGAAATACTTTGGGAATGTTATGTTTAACAATGTACATTCCTTCATGTGGAACAAAGTTGGGATGACTAAAGAGCAACCAGGAGCCAACAAGGCTCCCCACTTTTGCGAGGGTTGAGGGGGCAGAGGGGGGTGATCTATCGTAGCAGTCTTAATTAACCTTTATTTTGCAAAGGGATTACTTCCACAACTCGAAGTAGTATTATTTTTTGATATAACATATCTGCTCTATGATACTTGACAAACCCTCCAAATTAAAAAGATTTTTCACTCAAATTATTGGAACTTTTGAGTCTTACTTTAATCTTCATTTCATCAAAAGTAAAACTGTTGGGAAATTTACTGGCCTATTCTATATATATTTCAAATATATTTTCAATTGAAACAGCATATATAAATGTATATATATAGACCTGGAGCTGCTACCCTTCAATTGGTGAACACTTTTATCCACAAACTTATAGTCAACACGCTGCTGATCTCTGCACCCATAAATTAAAAAATAAAAAATAAAACAGAATGAAGAGATCCTGACTGTAGAAACCCTACCAAGGAAAGAAAGCTACTTTAAAAAAGATTAAAAACTTAGAATATCAATGATGGGAAAATTTTATGAATTCTTACAGAGCTTTTGCGAGTTCATTAACAAGCCTCTCAGTATCTTGAAAGAAAAGAGACACCACTTCAACTACAAAATCTGGGTTGTTCTCATCTTGCAGTTGCTGAAGTTGGTTGAACTGTTCATCCAGAAATGCCTTCACACAAAAGAAGAAACATACTTATCACCAAAAAAGAAAAATAAAATCCAACCCAATAATCTGCAAATACAAACACACAAAATCCACCTATATATATATATCACCCTATATATCTATATGTCATAGGTATATATGTATGTATGTATACTGACCTCATCAAAGAGTGAAGCTGTGTAGTCAACCAACTGCTTCTGCAACTGAGAAACGCCATCCATGGCATCACTCCCAAGCTTTTCAACATTCATTTTTTTCTTTCTTTTATTTGAATTTTCGGAGGATTTATGAATTCATTGCACCCTTTCCTCCCCTTTAAATAGAGGAAAACTCAATGCAGGGGTTGCTCTAATTTTTATTTTGGAGTGCGAGGAGGGAAGCTCTAAATTAAGATTCCTACCTTTGTGGGCTCTAAATTATATAAATGCGCAGTACATGAACTCACCTTTTCTAGTATTCCTTACTTGATTACTTGCTACTTGCTAGCCTATTTTCACTTTCTCTTTCCTTTTTCTCTAAAAAGAGAGACAGATTATCTGCCCTCCTGTTTGAATGCCTTTCTCATCCCTTTCTATTTTGTACGATCACGGTTAAGCTACGTAACATTTTATATTGATTTTTTTATAAAGATAATAAGACAAAAACAATAGGAATATAAAATGTTTATCTAATTTAACCGTGATCGCATAAATATGAGGAGATGAGAATAACATCCAAACAGGAGGGCAGACAATATGCCTCTTTAGCACCACAAGATCCAAAACCTCCTGCCATGTACCGTTCACCTTCCCCTTCTTTTTCTTTTGAGTAATTATTTCTCTCTCTCTCCCTCTCCGTAAAAGATTTCAGTATAACTGACTGATTAGGTCATTTTCAATATTGGATAAACCGCTGTGAGTGTTAAGTAAAATCAAAATACAGGAAGTCATATTATTTAGAAAGTAAATCCACAGGAAGTCATATTATTTAGTGTAATACATAATTTTTTTCTGAGGTGTGCTACCTACACATTCCTTTTTACTTCTCACACATCCTCTTATATGTGGGGGCATGATTATTTCTACATTGATTATTACCTTATTAGTGCAATGATAACATTTGAGATTATATTAAGAGAGCTTTACCCACATTTGGGCCAACTTCTACTCTTTTAACTGAAGAGAGCTTTACCCACATTTGAGCCAACTTCAAGTGATATGATGAGAAAGTGACCCCAGACAATGTTGCATCCATATCTTCTGGATTTTTATTATTTTTGATAGATTTTGTCTTCTTCTTAAATTAAAAATAATAATGAAATTTGTCAAATAAGAGGGCATCGCTCATCACATTAACAATAAAAGCGAATTTTTAACATTTCTAAGCGCCAAGATTATAATTTATAGAAGTTGGTATAATAAAGTAATAAACTTTTCAGCTTTGAATTTTACGAAATGCTTTATTGGTCATTCGGTGATTAAAAAAAATGTATGATCCTTAATTATATATTGATTTTGATATGAAAAATGAACAATAAGTATACGTATTTTTAGTGTTTATATATGTATTGTTAGTCGCCAAATGAGCAGGAGACGAGACCCTAGATTCCAATAAAGTATTGAACTTTTGTTGTCTGGATTCTCAAAGAAAATGCGTACTTCAAGTTAACCTCTCCACCTTTCTTTTTCACTTGCCTGCTTTCACAATATTAAACGTTGATCCCTCAATCTTTTGAAGATTCTTTATAATTAATTGGATGTTGGTCTTGTCTTTGTTGGTTGTTTGAGTTGTTGCATTTTGATTGGCTGCTGCCTTTGGTGTGGATAATTGGCTAATACCAGGTAACTGAAAACAAACAGGGACAATTCATTCAGCACAAAGGCCTCTCTCTCTGGTTTTAGTCTTAAACTGGCCCTACTCCTTCAACAAACCATGTGGTTTCAGTCGTCGATCTTTCAATTTTTCTGGCATAGGACACGTGTGGGTAGTTCAAAGCATTGTGTAAGGGTGGACACTGGACAGTGCATGTATGTATGGGATTTTGGTGCATGTGGTTGCAGGTGTCAGAAATTTTGAGGCATCGTTCTTGGGTTGAGGATGATTTTGTTAGGTGTCAGAAATTTTGAGGCATCGTTTTTGGGTTGAGGATGATTTTGTTATCTACACGTAACATGTTGGAAGTGAGAACTTCATAAACCAGGACGCTAATATGATCGTGTTTCAAACCAATTAAACGATGTTATGTAAGAGAATGCGGTTATGAGTGGTACGTAACTCTATCCCGTTGAGTCTTTTTTATCCCTCTCTTGCAAGGGGTGTATTGGAATGATTTCATTCAAATGAGAAACGATTTTTTGTTAGGGTTTTGTGAGAAATGAGAATTGTTTCGTGACAATAATGTTTGCTACTTATGGAATCGGGATGTCGAGATGGTTGTGTTCTAAACTATTATACGTGGGGACAATTAATGGTTAGAACACAAGGTGATGCGTGATAGGTTTAGAACATCATCCTCTTGACGTTTGTGTTCGCGTAAAACACTCTTATTGCAATGGGTGCTTTGGCACGATTTCATTCAAATTGGAAATGACATTTTGTTAAGCACGCTCCGATTGCCGACCCACCACGCTCACCCTGTCGTCTTCCGGCCTCCAGTTATCAAAAACTGACCAAGTCCTCCCAGATAGGGAGAGAAGTGAGTTAGAGAGAGAATGAGAAGAGGGAAGAAGACAAACATGAAAAAGCAAAAGAGAAAGTTAATTGATGATAGCCATTCAATTTTCGGTTGAACATACATGATTGAAGAATCCGGATGAAAGGGATCCGAAGATGATCATATTCCATTTTTGTGGCTCAATTTGGATTAACCTCAATGTGAGTTGTCACTCACAGTCCCTTTGGTGATGATCAGCTTGGTTGGAAACGTATGACTTTGGAATTTGGATAAGCTTCGATCTCCTTTGTGATTTTTTCATTCAATCTTTAATATTTTATACCCATCAATCAAAGATCAAACCCAAATGGATTGGTGGAAGAATTACCGTGGGGCCTCGCGTGATTTACAAGTCTCCTCTTACCTTGACCCAAATTTCGTTTAGCTTTTGCTTTACCAACAAGCACTTCCTACAACCTTATTTCAACAAAAAAATCATTCTGTACAACCATTGTTATTCATAAAAGTGCTTTAGTGGGTTGGCCAATGGACATGGCATTGGTAAGTTTTCCGATTCCCATACCTAAAGACTTCAAGGAATTGGTGATCCAAAGGCACCTTGACCCCCTCATATAACATTATTAGGATTAGGTTTGCTTTAAATAGTATGTAGTGATCTCAGAACCAGCCACACGCTTAGAATATTGGTACTTGGCCGACAATTACAAATTCCTCTTGATGAGATATGAGAATCAACACGATTAATATGACTAAAATGGAAAACACGTGAAATATCTCAAATGCTCATGTATATATACCACGTAAAGCAGTACAATTGATACTACTAGAGTCGTACACGAATGATCAAATTGAATTAAAAGTTATCGATTAGACATTTCACGTGTTACGTTCTATTTTAGTCATATTAGTCGTGTTCATTTTTCATTTTCAGCTAAAAAGATTTGTAATTGTCATATAACGGTCAATTCCCTCTTTATTACCCTCGACGCCCAACTGAGAGAAATTTCAATGCCGCATTTAGATACCCTTCTATCTACCCCTAGCCCCTCCACCACTAAGAATATTGTCTTCTTCACCCCGTTTAAAAATACTTACATGACACGGGTTCATACTCTACCCCCCAAACTAGATAGCTAGGGCGTGGCTTGGAATTTTATCGCATCACTAAACACAAGAACAATAGAGAGACCACATGAAGGAAGTGACTCATTTCCAACCTTATTGGTGAGGACAAATCCAATTCCACAAAGGACAAAACTCTAGACCGTTTTCAACCCGACCGAGCATGCCATGGGGTTCCAATGCCATAGGGCCCAAGCCCCTAACTCCCTTGTGGCTTCTGTACACAATCACGCTCTTCAAATCTATCAGAGGATCTTGCATCGGAAGGATTTATTGTCACATATCATCTCGCTTCAACAATGAAATGTTAAAGAAAGAAAAATTCTTTTTTTTTTTTTTTGTTTTGTTTTTTCAAATAGAAAAAGTTTAGACGATTTTAATCGTTCAGTAACGGTCGCATACGAAGAACTTATCCTCATCTTAAAGGAAGAAGACCATTACACCCAAAAACTCTCACCCGTGCCTCCTCCAAAAAGTCTCGATACATTGTATTACTGATCCAAATGCTACAATTGCGGTAAATTCTGCAATCAAATTGGATCACCATTTTTGGTAGGAGATTTGAAATTACAAAAGGGAGGGACCACTCCATTCTCCATTTCCTTCCCCAAATCTCCATCTTGATATGAAGGGCATCAAAGGGGGACCCACAATTTTTAAAAGGATCTAGGTTCCTACTGCCCCCATTATTTAAAATTTAATTGAATGGTAGGCCACAAAAGTACAAAAATGTAGCATGTTTTTGGGGTATCCAAAGCCATGAATCTGTCAAAGCTTTGCCTCAATGTTTTCTCGGTAAGTAATAAGTAGTTCTTGTACCAAACAATTGTACATCCACAAAAGTTTGATAAATGCTACAGGAAGTCTTACAAAAGTGGAATCCTTTCTAGACTGTCTCTCATTTCATAGTTTAACGTCAATTTTCGTATTAATTTTATAAAATATTATGTAAAAAACATAATGTGATAAAGAGTCTCGCTTTAATGTGACAGAAAGTTCTGCTTTTGAAAGAATCCTGTTAACGTTTCTCAATTATGGTGGTGCATTATTCTCACTGCTTGGGAAAGACAGAAAAATAGCCACAGGTTTTTCAACAATCTTTTTCCTTTTGTTTGTCTGCCTCGAAAACAAAAGAAAATGCACGCCATACACACACACACACACACACACACACACAAATCCATACACAATCGTATATAGCTATTGTGCACGTGAGTACATCCTTTCTATTTCGAGTTTGAACTTTTTCTGTGTTTCTTAAATGTTAGTTCGTAAGAAGCTACTCGATCAATTATTTCTTTACTTTTCAGCCTCGTTTGGTGTGGAGGAGACTGGATCTGATTAGTTAACTCATTGTTTTCGAGATACGTTGAAAGAAGAAATAACAAGGATTAAAAGAAATAGGTTTCCATTCGTGTCTGATCCGCTTCTAATCCTCTCAAAATGAAAATAATTTGCCTTGATCTTCTACATACCTTAAATCTTATGAATGACTTCTTCCAATACAATCTTAGGCACTAAATGAGCTCTAAACCTATGAATTTAAATAACTTACTTGAAACGGGATGTCAATGTGATGATATTTTATGCAAAGTCATTGTTGAAAGTTAAAACACATTACAATGCGTAATTGTCGTCGCAACGGCCTTGTTCCCAGTGTGGATAAGTTTTATCTCCTGATAAATTATAAGCACTAAAGAATGCAACCCAGGAGGCCATTGCCAATTAGGTACTTTCATTTAATCTAATGGATTTTTAAGATTACCAAATCCTAATATCAAAAGCGTTTTTTGTGAAAATAATCATGAAACCAATTCTTAATAAAAATCTCAGTGAATCCTGAAAAAACATATCTGGTGCTTCTTCCAAAAAACATTGCGTTTGGAATGCAAAATTAATTTCACCAAAAACACTTTTAGTGACTTTAAAAACACTTCTAAACGAGCCTTCCAACTCCTTGACCAAATAAAATGCAATTTGTATAGAAACTAATCATATAACTAATGCAATTTGTAAAAAATATATGTTCTCTTTAAATTCTCTTTATTCTTTTATTTTTCTTTTCCTTGAAGAATGAACAATGTTATACAACACATAAAAGAACCTGTCCACACATCATTTCTATTTATGAATGTCAATTGACAACATATACAATGAGAATTAGAAGGGAAGTACCAGGCATTTGCCCCAGCGGCACTACGACGGCGACGATCCAAAGATTACATCGCGTGCATCAATTGGTCAGTAGCGTTTCCAATGTCGAAAATAAACAACCTGAAACTTCATCAATTAAATTTCAATACTGGCATTTGGCCGAGCTTTGACCAATCGTTTTTACAATACTCGTGGAAAATAAGGAAAGTTCGGATTCCTTCAGTGCGATTCGGGCACCGGGAGGTACATCATCCTGCAACAGAAAGTGTGGAAACGTCAGTGGCTTACAGATCCAATTTTCCAACAGGTTCCATCGCCTTCCGTTGATTGTAAAGCTACTCACAATCAAATGTGTACAAATATAACACACGAACATGAAAGGCGATAAATTGTCATGCTAATGTTAATATGCAGAATCATCATCACATCCTAATGTGAATGGATATAGAACTGTCATTAGAAAAGCATCCGAAAATCTTCTTGCATACAAAATACCCAAACCTTACAACACAAGTTTGCGACGACTTCCCAAAAAAGCCCTTAAAATGCACTTCTAACAAAACAAGAGGAGAAAAAAGTTTGTATACCTCAAGGCAACGTGTTTGGCAAACTTTACTCGACTGATATGTGGACCCATTAGAATAGTCATGTAATATTACATGATTGCTCAACGTCTTTACAACATTTCCGTACAATCTGCCAGCTTCTATAGTCTAAGAAACCGTACTGTCTAAATTTTACTATGCCCAACTTAGTGTACCTAATATCCCACAAGAGGGGAATCTAGATGAGTGCAAAAGGTGTTAGAACATGCATGAGAAGTCAACAAAGTACTAGTGAAATCCAGTACAATACTATGTGATTGCTCCACATATGAAAATGCTACCAGCACTTGGAAGCATTCATTCGGTTGTAAACATTCCATAAATGAGACAATTTCTAATTAAAAGTGATCAAAGTGATTAATGTGTCACAATCTCACCTTCCTCGGAGAAGGCAAAAACACCACCAAGCATGTCATCACTATCACCATCTTCCTCGCATTTCTCCCTATCACAGGGGCTGTCTACATCAGTTACAACTTCAGTCGACTCACGAAAATTGCTCAGAGGTGATGCTTTACAATACCCCTCTTGGAAAAAAGGCTCAAAATCCGGTGATTCATGTACTGGTCCCTCATCCAGCATGTTCATACTACGATCATAACGGTTAGAACTTACATTGGAACCTTCACTGGCCCCACCACTATTCACCGACTGAACCCTTGTTGCAATTGTTCTATCAGCTGAAGGGGAGCCGCTTGTTAAAGTGGATAGACACTTTGAAAAATTACCATCCTCACCAACAGAAACACCTGAGGTAGGTTGTTTCAGGGATACTGAAGTAATATTTTTCTTTGTGGAGATATAGTTCAAGTGAGGTGATACCGAAAATGATCTCCCTCTTTTTTCGCCATTCTGTCCATTTCCAGGTTGGAGAATATATGGATAGGAATTACCTAATTCGTTAAAGAAAAAAGGTTGCATTAGAAAATCCTCTTCTACCCATAAAACAATAACAATATTACATCAGAACTACCAGGATTCTTACCAGCATCTGGGTTACCATTTTCAGCTGAGCCAATAGATGTCAAATTCTCACCAGAAATACCAGAATTTTCCTGAAACTTTTCTTTATCTTCATGAGAATCAGAAGATGAACTCGAGGATCCTCGTCCAATTAGATGCCTGCATAAGGCGCCCAACAAATTCAATTAATGGTGAAAACATTCAAAAGTGATTTTTGTGATACTTTTTAGTTATTATTTTAAAAAAGCATGCTCAAGAAACCTCTAGCCTCTCAGAAAAGGTCATCAAACCATATAGAACCACAAACACAAAGCACATAAGAAATGCAAAGATGCAGATTTTCAAGGAATCTTAACAACCTCCAGGAGCAAGAAAATAGATACAAGATGGATTCATACAAAATGCTACAAAACAATAAAGGCGCGAATTCATTTTCATTTTAACATGAATACAGCAGCAACATTACCTGCCATTCCAGTCAGACTGAAACCTATGAAAAGGATGAACAACAGGTAGCAAATCCTTCCGCCTCATTTCAACCTCTTGACCAGGAACCTTCTCTATTTCCATCTCTCCGGGGCTAAGATCTCTACCAAAATTCAGCTCACCAGCAGCACATGGACTCATTGTATAGAAATATATCTAAGACATAAATAAAAGGATCACAAACATGTTTGACAATGGTGATCAGCAAAAGAAATCTCACTGCCAAAATATAAAAGGTACCTTAGACTTTTGCCAGATTGGAATCCTTCCGGAATTGATCTGAACCTCAGCATTGGAGAGATACACATGAGATCGTTCAAGGGGTTTTGCCAACTCCTTATCCCCAACATCATTGTCATCACAGTCAGAACTATCAATTGTATCAATATCTTCTTGTTTCCCAAGTATAACCCCAGAAATGCATTCCTCTCTTTCAGGCCAATCATTTCTGCGGCAAACATCCAAGAAATGAAGAGATTCAACTTTCACTCGCAATTCTTCATCCTGTATCTGTACTGAAGAACCTGGCCCTGCTCTCGAAGCAGCGTTGCCTGGCTCTCCTCCCAACGAAGGCAGTAGTTTATACTGAATTACATGACCAGAAGCAGTATAAGCCAATAGGTGCTCCAACGCAGTGACCTTCGCATGGGAAGATTGCATGTCATGAGGTACAGAACTATGGAATACAGCGGCAACAGCCCCAGACCAAAAGGAAGCCTTTCCTGCTGCAGAAGATGCAGCATTACTAACAGTGTTGAGCCACCCACAGTTATTTTTTATTCTGCTAACTACAGAAAGGGTAGCTGCTGGAGGTGGAGAAAAGAGTTGCTGACTTCTTGTAAAATATGGAGTAAACCACCATGGTGCAGATGGAACCGGTGAAAGAGTAGGTCCGTCAACATGAGAATTCTGTATTTGAAGAACAGTTTCACCACCGAATGGAGACAAAGCAAAAATATGGCTAGTCCCCCTGGATGAAACAATTGTGATCCATTGACTGTATTGACTAAAACAAATGTCTTGGATCACCTGTATAATAAGCACAAGGAAAAAGAAGCCACATTAACATAAGGAACATAATAGTAATAGCCTAAGATGAAACAACAAAAGACCAAAACTTACAGCAGATGTTATGCCACGATGTAGTTTGTAAAGGTGCACATGAGAAGAAGTCCAGTCATAGCTTTGAGTGCCTGATCCATTACGTGAGCAGGATGGCATTATTCGAAAAATGTTTATATTGTTTCCATGTATTGAAGCAGTAACTAGAAGAGTCCCGCTTGGGTCAAAACACAGGGCAGAAATGGGACTAGTATGTGCCCTGAACTGTGATACAATGGCTCTGGAAACAAAGTCTTTTATAACAACCTGCAAAGGCCATTTCACTTAGTAAATACAGTTCAATCAAAACTGCTCAAGGTAATTAAAAACAACCACATCCCCTCTGCTATTTAGAATCAGGTTTTCTAAACTATTGACAATATTGAGCGCGACAGAAGATCCTTATTCTCATGCAATCGCTCAAACAGAATGTCTCAAAATGAAACATTACCAAATCTTTTCTCTTCTTGTAAGTATAATGAAACAATAATGATTCCAGAGTGAAATTAAAATATAACTTTCGCTAAAAATAATACTTACCATTCCAGCAATATCTGTTTCGGTTGACAGTGATGCAACCTTCCCAACTTTCCAGCTAGAATTTGATGACACAGGAGAGTTAGAACCATCCGGTACAAGATCTTGATAGTACTTGGACAAAGTTTTGTAACCCATGTCTCCAAGATTAAGTAACCCAGAAGCTAACTGTTTACTAGATTCCATTGCATATCGAGCCATCAGATTCCCACTACTTGGCGAAGTTGATGGACTTACACCAGGAGGAGTAAGACTTTGAGGACTGAGGCGGCCTGTGTTTGACATCAGAGGGTTGTTGGAAGCATAAGCCAACCACCTGGGACCAACAGCCATTGGACCATACCCAATATTGACCCCAACCAGTCCTTGAACTCCCAATTGGGGGACAGGATAAGTGAGGACACTGAATTTGTTCTCAAGAGTGACAGCATCAAAGCAGTATATCTGCCAGCAAAATTAGAAAACAAAAGGGACTCAAAGACAGGTTTAAATACTTCATTACCTATTTAGTGATAAGCATTGTATAACATTCATATTTTAAATGATGAAACTTCCCCAGTGAATGTTTGAAACCCGTAGCCTACAACCATCCAGCCTAACTCTTCTAATTTGTTACAGGAACATGGTGACTTCCACAAACAAGCACACACCCAGAAAACATCTATAGGATGATAAAGTAATTCAGCCTCTACAGTTTGGCTGGAAAAGCAATTCATTCCTAAATGCGTATAATAACATTGAATACATGGGATAAGTTAATGCTTACTTGTGATGCAAGACCCACAGCTACTACTTGAGGACTGCATCTAACCATATACACAGTTGAACGGAATCTTAGAACATGAACATAACTGCAAGACCTCAGCGAATAAAACCGAACAGCGGTTGGAGACAAAGCAGAGTTTCCTGTTTGAGGCTCAGAATGACCATTGACCAACCCATCTCTCCCTGTTTGCATCATACCTGAGCTCTTTTCATCACATGCAACAACCATGAGAATAGGATGTGAGGATCTGAATCCTTCTTGACCCTCACACTTTGCAGGCAGGGGCTGCATCTGTAAAAATGTAACTGGATCATCACGCCTTGATACAAGTTCACTGAAATTAGAGGCATCTTCAATATCAAGGACTTGAAAGCCATTGGAATAACCGAGTAGCAGAACATGTTTGAAGGAAGATGGACCAAGCTCTAGTTTGTCAAAGCAAGCCCACAACACCTGTTTGCCACAATAAGTTAAATCACAGTGATACATGTAATAATACACTGAGACACTAATGACTCTTCTAACTAATTCCGTGTCTCACAAATTTTTAACCACTCAGAGCTCACATTTATTTAAACATCTCAGGGCATGAAACACATACCATCAATATACAGAAATTTCCAGGTTTCGAAAACATTTTTTTTTTTTTTTTGTTATACTAGAATTAAATTCTCAGTTGATTGCGGAATTTGGAAATGAAAAAACCCCACAAATTTCTTACATGCATATGCTACTTCTGAAATGGTAATGGTCCACTGGACATCAATTGGATTCTTCTTTGAAGAACATCAAAACCTCATGGACAGGGTACTTGATAACGTTACACCATATCCCAATCCCATATCCTTCACACTAAGTATACAATTATCAATCTTATAACCTCATTAAATTTCGATGATTGCAATCATCCAAAGTTGACAGTATCAGTCCACATTCTTAAATTTCATATTAATACGCATCGTAAAATTGGTTATATTTCCACTTCTACATTAATTAATTAACCGGGACTTCATTTATTTTACTCCGCCTCAAACTACTAAACCAGTCCAAAGCATTACTTCTTACAAACACAGCCCTACTCAACAAAACATACATAAACTGAAGAAAGTTCTATTTTTTAAGCCAAACATCCACACTAGCCGAAAAATTCAAACTTCTCCTCACATTTCTCTTCTTTGTCCTGAAATTTTCTCATCAGCCAAACACAAAGCTCGAACTTTACATTTCACTCTCTGTCACTCATTTTCCTCGCTACGGACCAAAAATCTAATCACATTAACTCACAACCACAACAAAACAAAAATTCAAAACTCCAACTTTCTATTTCCTCTCTTTTTTCCCCCAAATTTAGTAAAATTTCGCTTTCGATCCCTCTCTTCTCCAATTTTCCATCCAAACACAATTATTCAAAAATCAATCGCTAATCCGATAATCCAATTCCAAAAGCTTCATAATCAAACATACGAAAATAAATAAATTTTCAAGTAAAAAAAAATTAAATTAAACCTGGTCTCGGCAATCGTGAGGGTCGGCGGTGATGGAGGCGGCGACGGAGGCGGCGCCCGACCTTACGCCGGAAGATGCAGTTTTAATGCAAGAAGAAATGAATTTGAGAGAATTCGGAAGGAAGCCATTGTTATTGGCGTGATGGTGATGATTACTCTGAACGACCTTGGTGCCGCCGTTTTGGTTCTTCTTCATAGTCAGGCAAAAAGTCCCCAGCGAATGCAACCGGCCACCGGAGAGTCACCGGAAGGAGTGGTCCCCACCGCCGACGGAAGTCGCCGCCTTCAGTCGATCAGCAATAGGAAATAAAAAATAAAAAATTAGACCGGTGCAGAAGCAAGGGTGGTGAACGGCGTCGTTTTCGGTGGTGCCGGTGCCGGTGGGTGCGGTGGTTTGGATTTTGACCTAGAAACGGAGACGATTTTCGTTTTGATTTTCTGTCTCTCTCTGTCTTTATATTTTTTTTATTTTTTTTTATTTGCTTTCGGAGTCAATTGCAGTGGAGGCTAATTTGGGCAATGTCAAATGTATCGCGGTGGGGTTTGGATAATCTTGTCGGCACCCCCTGCAAAGTATATTCGAAAAATGATTTACCAAACTTTACGATTTTGCCCTCGCCCGCTTTCTCATTCAAAACGCAAAAGGACGATGATAAGGTATAAATTGAGAGATTCTCGAGTATCGAACTATTCCTGTTACAACATCATGTGTTGTTACAATTATGTACTGCTTGTTTACGTGATAGTACGTGGAGCAGTAATATTATGTAATGGTGTAGTGGTCAAATTAAAGGGTTTTGATATTGTATTTAGTCTTTTTCTGATCATTATTGTATGATTCATCAGCACTAAGAATTGAATTCAGAACATGTCATGAAGAATATGAGTCTGAAATTCGTCTCAACTACTGAGCCGAGCCAGTACTCTACAAAGGTTGAGTAAATATGAATTATTAGCATCTCATATCTTTTACTTTGGTATTATATCGACTTATGTAAAATACTTTTGTGATTTGAACAAGTTGCTTTTGTATATTAGTTAGAATATGCTTTTGCAATTGAGAGAAACTTTGCACAAACGAAGCAATGTTTTAAGGAAGATGAGGGTATCTTTTTTTGCTCATTATAAACCAAAAAAATTCAAACATTACTTTGATTGGTGAATTAGATATAGTATGATTTTTGTCATATATCGAAAAGTAACCAATGTCCCTCTAACCTATACATTTTTATGCTTTAACATAAAATTTCAGTAAATTTACAAATTTACCTAGCAAACTAATTTACAATGTTCTAAACGAAGTTAGGCGCTTGTTGCACCCGAGGGGTGGGGGGTAGATGACTATAAACATATTATGAGTGTTCATGTATTTAACAAGTCTCTTACAATTTATTGAAAGAATAAATGCAAAGTGGAAGCAATCTATTTTTTGTCACAGTGATAGTCACGACCTAGATGAGTGTATGGGCCAATTTAAGCGGCCGACTAGAAAATAATCGTGGAGGCAACTGCCTAGGCATCATTTTCTTATTTTTTAAACACTTAGAAACTAGTCGTGATGATGACCATCCTTCTAACGCCTAGACAAATGTTTTAGAACAGTACTACTTCATATGGTTGGATAGCTTGCATATTATGGGGTCAAAATAGTCTTTTTGCATCCTATTTGAAAGGCCCACTGGGGGTCCAAACAGTATTTGATGGAAGTTGAGGACGCCAAGCGAGAATAGCGGGAAATGTGGGGGAGACCTATGAATTGTAGGCTTAACGTACGGCGTTAAATAGTTTGAAAAATTGGAGGACATTGGCTACTTCACGACAGCAAGGGACGATAATATCTTAAGCAAAGATGCCGAACAAACACGTTTGTTTGTTTCTTTATTTTTGAACAAGGCGAGTCCAAGATGACCACATCTTGTTTAAACAAGATGAGTCTCAAATGATGACATCCATAAGCACCGATATACCGTTACAGTGACGTAATTTTCTACGGCATTTCTAAATATAAATATTTTGTATTTTTTATCTGCTAAATTTTTATTTAAAAATACAAAAAATAAAATCTAACGATTAAAACTTTTAAAGTATAAGTATGGAATATTCCAGAGCACCCTAGAACTCTCGAAGAGAAAATCTAACGTTTGATTGACTTTTTATACTTGATCTACCTAAATTTGAAAATAAAAAGGCTATAACAAATAAGAAATTGTTTCTAGATTATATTGGGTCAGGCCCACTTATGGTAAGCCCATTTAGTTTTACACAATGTAAAAACTGAAGAACAAAAGGTGTCGTTTCCGTGTCCAGAAGGAGAGGAAATTCTTTTTACATGCAGTTCATACAAGTAGATCCTGGTTTTCATATTTTTGCGCCATCTGACACGAATTTGCATGGTAGTTATGCAGATTTGATCATTTCGGGGACATCAAAAAACACACTGATGATGCTGTTTTTCGACATAAACGATTTGCAGCATAACCCCCACTATATATTCTTTTCCATCAACTTGTTCGCATTGGAGCAGCAAACAGCTGACAAAAAGGCTGATTTCCAATCACCAAAACTTTGTTCATTTCAACTGCCATCTTTCATCGATCCACAAACGAGCTATATATCATGTAACCTTAACCTTTCTCTATCAACTCCAGATACAAAACCACATTACAGATCAATTTATATATATAACATTGAGCCTTACGCATTCATTTCATAAATATATAATATAGGTGTAGTATTTTTTTTGAAATTTTTTTAATAATTGGAACAAAATAATTTACGTATGAGTTAGAGGAATGTTATTTGATTCAAAATATATAATATAGGTGTTGTATTTTGTTTTAATTTTTTTTTAATAATTGGAACAAACTAATTTACCTACCAATTAATATGGATACAATTACTACAAAATATATTTTATTTCACTTTTTCTAGTACTTTTAATTTGGCAAAAATTCAAGAATTTGGGAAACGGACCATAAAGTATAAGCGGCATGGGTGTAAATAAATTGTATTAATAGGTCAATAGTGTTTTGGTTGCAGATTTTAAATTTGAGCTTATAGTGGATCTTTAAAGATAGATGGGTTTTATCTAGAAATATTGAGTTGTAAGTATCAAAATCTAAAGCATGAACACGAAGAAAGAAAAGTACAAATGATTAAGATATGTGTTTTACTTGGCGTTTATCTGGAACACCTTTGCAGCATTAAAGCCAAAAGTTAATCCTAAGAAATTTAAAAGGGCAATTAAGAAGGTTCTTAACTAGTTCATGTTTTATTTCCAGAAACAGTTAAAAAGCCAAAACCAAAAGGTATCTTATTTAGTTTAAAGTTTAAGCATACACATAAACTGAATTAGCTAGTAAATAACTTAATTAACGTGGCGGCAATTCTTCCGGACTTGTCCCTTTAATCCAGTGAGAGGATTAATGTTCCCCATCTTAACCATGGACTTGGCAAACTGCTGAAAGAATAAGCTCTCATTAGCTGCATAGGTTTTCACCAGCTCAGCTGCCTGCCTTCCATTCCCAGTCAGAAGCACTTGGTCTGAAGGGAGAAGTCCATGTCCCCCAAGTACAAGCTTGAAGTAGCTGTTGTCGAACCTTGTAGGGGAAACAAAGTCCAAGGGAGCAGGTGTGTTGTCGCCATCTCTTCTAGGGCAAACTGATTTCCGGGTCTGCCTGACGAACAAACATTTTGCGAACCCAATTGTATGCCCTCCTGCATTGATATTGTTGTAGACATCGAAATTTCGCGTTCTTCGAAATTGGGACGAGACTTCTATTGATCCCTGCATCTGGAATATGGTTACTTGTTCTCAACTTTTCGTGTTTACAATTGTATATATAAAAAAAAATCCATAAATATTCAACTTGAATTTGTGTCGCGTTTAGACGGTCGTGATTTGTGAAACAAGTTAGTTTTACCCTACTAACAATAGTGTCACATCCTAACTAAAAGCCAAAGTGTTTCACTTTCTCATAACCATCTTTCAATTTGCCCCTAAACTTTCAGTTCGCTTTGAGTCTCTTTAGTCTTGAATTTGTGCCTAATAATTGTCAAATTCATTAAATTTTCTATTCTTTTTGCCCATTTGAATGGACAAAAATAACCAACGTGAAATCCAACGTGAAATTTCTGAGTGTTGTGCTTAGAAATCCAACGTGAAATTTCTGACTCAGTTCGTCGATTCAGGTCTCAAATGGCTGGGTCAAGTGGTAGTGATCTTCGGGCTCCAATATTCAATGGTGACAACTATGAATTTTGGAAGATCCAAATGAGAACTATTTTCAAATCACATGGAATCTAGGATCTAGTTGAAAAGGTCTTGAAATCTCATAATCGAAAGGGAAGAAGGTCGATGCAGAAGGGTCATCGGAATCAGAGAAAGGATCTCTGAACGAAAAGCTAATGAAGGATGCTAAGGCACTGGGTATTATCCATGGAGCTGTCTCATATGACATTTTCCCCAGAATCTTAAACGAGGAGACCTCAAAGGGTGCTTGGGATATCCTGTATTAGGAATTTCATGGCGATAAGCAAGTGAGATCCATCAAGTTGCAGGGTCTACGCCGTGATTTCGAGTACACAAGGATGAGGGATGATGAAACCTTGTCTGTGTATCTCACTCGTCTTCTCGAGTTGGTGAATCAGATGAAGAGTTATGGGGAAGAGTTATCCAGAAAGCGTTTGGTTCAGAAATTGCTCATAAGCTTGACCAAAGAATTTGACCCTGTTTGCTATGTGATTAAGCAAACTAAGGACATTGAAACTATTGAGGTGCAAGAGGTAATTGCTGCATTGAGGGGATTTGCACAGCGCCTTGATAGGCATGCTGAGAGTACCACTGAGAGAGCTTTCAGGAGTATGAGTGTAAATCCAAAGGGAACTCAGTCAAATCCCTCATTTGGTAACTCTAAGCCAAAGAAGAACTAGAAATCGAAGGGTAAGAAATGGGATCCTAAATCTCAGAACACTGTCAATCAAGGTGGCAAATATGACCAAGGAGGAAAACCAGATTAGGCTAAGGGAAAATGCAAACATTGTGATAAGTTACACTATGGTGAATGTTGGTTTAAAGGGAAGCCAAAATGTCATGGTTGCAATCGATTTGGTCATTTCATCAAGGACTTTGATCAACCAAACAAAGCTAAGCTTCTCAAGAACCTGATTCACTTGGTTCTCCAGTTTCAATCTCTGAAACTTATGATCATACTCCACATAAATGGAAGAGTTTGAGTGATGTATATGCTCAATGCAACATGAGTATCATTGAACTTGAAGATTTCAGTGAGGTAGTCAAAGATAAAGCTTGGAAAAAGGCTATGATAGAAGAGATGTTGATGATTGAAAAGAATTCCACTTGGGAATTAGTTGACAGACCAAATAGGAAACCGGTTGTGGGAGTGAAGTGGATATATAAAACTAAGCTAAACCTTGATGGCTCCATTCAAAAGCACAAGACAAGGCTTGTAGCCAAAGGCTACACACAAAAACCAGGGATTGATTTCAATGAAACCTTTGCTCCAGTGGCAAGGTTAGATACTATTAATGTCACATCCTGGCCCGGGGCGGACCACTTCCCGGGCCCGTTCCACCACCGTAGCACGATATTGTCCGTTTTGAGCCCCGACCACGCCCTCACGGTTTTGTTTCTGGGAACTCACACGAGAACTTCCCGATGGGTCACCCATCCTAGGAGTGCTATCGTGCGCTACTCGCTTAACTTCGGAGTTCCCATGAAACCCAAAGCCAGTGAGCTCCCAAAAGGCCTCGTGCTAGGTAGGGATGAGGATATACATTTAAGGATCACTCCCCTGGGCGATGTGGGATGTCACAATTAGGACACTCATTGCTCTAGCTGCACAGAAAGGTTGGAAATTGTGGCAATTGGATGTTAAATTAGCCTTTTTGAATCGTGTTCTCGAGGAGGAGGTATATGTAGATCAACCTGATGGTTTTGTGATTAAAGGGGATGAAGACAAAGTGTATAGGTTAAGAAAAGCACTCTGTGGTCTAAAACAGGCACTAAGGGCTTGGTAGGGTGAAATTGACACATATTTGATTCACTGTGGTTTTAACAGAAGCTCAAGTGAAACAACCCTTTTATGTGAGAACCAAAGAAGGTGTTGGGACTCTAATTGTGTCAATCTATGTAGATGACATAGTGTATACAGGTAGCAGTGATGAAATGATGCAAGAATTCAAGACTGAAATGATGAACAAGTATGAGATGTCAGATTTGGGTTTACTCCATCATTTTCTTGAGATGGGAGTTACTCAAATTGAAGGGAGTATATTCATACATCAAAAAAAATATATGCTCTAACCTTCTTAGATAAATTTGGGCTCAAAGACTGCAAGCCAATGAGCACTCCATTGGTTGCAACTGATAAACTGAAAAGAGAATATGGAAGTGAACCTGTAGATGAGTGTGAGTACAGGAAAATTGTTGGGAGCCTTCTGTATTTAACAGTAATTAGGCCAGATATTATGTTCTCTGCTTGTTTACTTGCACGATTTATGCACAAACCTACCAAGAAACATTATAGAGTTGCTAAAAAAGTTCTAAGGTACATTCAAGGAACAATTGACTTTGGGATTGAATATGTGATTGGAAAATATGCCTTGTTGATTGGTTACTGTGATAGTGATTGGAGTGGATCTGATGAGGATTTGAAAAGCACCTCAGGGTATGCTTTTTCATTTGGGAGCGGAGCATTCTCATGGGCTTCAGTTAAGCAACACAGTGTAGCACTTTCAATTGCAGAAGCAGAGTATGTTAGTGCAGCTGAAGCAACCTCTCAGGCTATTTGGCTTAGGTTTGTGCTCGAGGACTTTGAAGAAGAGCAAGCTGCTGCAACTTCCCTATTCTGTGACAACACCTCAGCTATAGCCATGTCTAAGAATCCGGTGTTTCATCAAAAAACCAAGCACATTGGCATGAAGTTTCATTTCATTCGAGATGCAATTCAAGAAGGTGTGGTTGATTTGATTTACTACAAAGGTGAAGAACAGATTGCAGACATCTTTACCAAGGCTCTTCCCAAGGGCAGATTCAACTACTTGAGAATCTTACTTGGTGTGAAATCAGTTAGCAATTTAGAATGGAGTGTTGAAAAGTAAATTGCTTACTAATTTCTTGTTAGTAAATGATTTACTTATTCAATTTACCTTTGTCCTATTGTATAATTGTTTTGTTCTATTGTGATAACTTGTGCTCATATGCCAAGTGTAGGGTCTTAGATCAGTTTTCATGTTCAATGGCTCACATGCCTTGTAAGTGCCATGTGTCATAATCACAATGGCTAATGCATTTGAATGGCTATGATAACTGATGTAAGAAATGATCTATATGAATGAAAAGCATTGTTCTGCAACAGCGTGGTTGATGTAGGGATTATTCCATTTCTCACTCTAGTTTTTCATTTTCTCTCTGTATTCTCTTGCTCCCTTCGTAATCCAGGAGTTCATCAATGAAAGACTACTCAAATATCAACATAAGCTAAGCTTCATGTGAAGCACAAAGCAGTGTTACTGGAACAGACGCTTAAAGTGACACCTTTATTTGATTAACTCGTGTTATAGTGGTGTCTCGTGTGATTGTGGAGGTTGACATTTGTGGTTACGGAGTCTGCAGGCATTGGATTGGTTTGTAAGCCTTGTTAGCTCAATGTAAACGGTTATATATATAACTGTGCATTTTTTTAAACAGTTACTCATAGTTGTAACTATCAATTTTAAATGGACAGATAACTACTACAGTTATCCATACCCACGGATATTTTGCACAACTCTACCTGCGGCCGAAAACATAAACAACGGGCCTCATTGTAAATTTCATACCTGGTGGTTTGGTTGAGGCAAAGAAACTTAATTGCACCTGGGTGCAACTAGGGTCGGGACAACCTGAATCCCTCCTACCCAATAGAAAAACCAATATCGTGTAGATTATAAAACAATTAATATATGTGATGATGTAAGATGATGTTTGTAGAAAAGAAAACACTACATATTAATAGTCTTTCCCCTCACTCTCAGAGCCACAATTTCAGCTGGTTGTGCTTTCAAATACCATGGAAAATTGGAAATCCATCTACAACGACTCGATTTCCATGGGAATTGCAAGCACCCCAGAAACTGATAAGTCTACAAGAACTACTAGATTTAACATTGTTTAAATGTTCTATCTATCCACCTATTTCAAGAACTGAAAGCGACCTGCTTGTGTCGGTTGAGATCGCCCAGATACTTTGTTGAATTATACTCTTGTGCATCCGATAGTTCTTCAGAGTATGTTCTTTGCAGGAACCTCCTTTTCGATTCTTTTGCACATTTGGATACATAATCATCGCCTCTTAGCAGCACCACAACCTGCGCCAAACCAAAATGTGTCATCATCCCACTATCCAACACCTCAAACATTTAAGTGAAACTAGGAGGCTGAAACTTCATGAAACAAGGTATGATGACCTCGCTCGATCAAGTCATCATGAATAGTTAACTCAGAAAAATAATGGGATATCTGTCTGGAATTTGTACTTACCTGACTCATGCGAGGACGTAGAATAGAAGACTGCTCGATGCATAAAGCTGCTGTCAAAACCATGTGATCCATCTCTTTGCGGTCATAGTTGTCACCAATATTAGGATCGACAAGCTCCTTGATCTCATTGTTATCAAGCAAAGGCTTTGCCTACAAAGAGTGAAAAAATTACATCTGCAGCTACGGACTTGCATATATCGACAACAATAGATGGTAATGTTCTAATTATGCAGAAGCAAACCTACCCAAAGTACAAGGCTTTTCTGAAGATCATCCAAAGCTGGACGCCCGGTTATAAGCTCCAAGAGTAAGACTCCGAAAGAATAAACATCAGTTTTTTCATCTACTATTCCATGCATGAAATACTCAGGAGCAAAATACCTGACATTCAAGGGTAAGAAATGAAGACATCGAAATATAAAGAATCTTATTTAACTGTAACAAAACAGTTTACCGTACATACCCAAATGTACCCTCAGATTTAGGGACATTGTGATGAGTCCATTGTTTGGGTAGCCACTTTGCAAGCCCGAAATCACATATCTAGCATAAATTGGCTATACCGATCAGTAAGTTGATTATAAAGAGAGAGATGAAAAGGACACATAGTTTAGGTCCAGTGAGGTCAGCGGTTAGCACATGAGAAGGCCAATACGATTCATATGCAATGTTGTCAATTTCTCTTTGTCAATATGAAGAAGGCAAGAGGAAAAGATGTAAAACACAGTCCGTTTTAGCACAATAAGAAACACCGGATTGAGCCTGAGTAAGTATGCTAAATGGCAAACAGAGCAAATAAGTATCGAGATTCATTAAAATTCTTTATGATTAAACATTTGAAAGCATATCCTTAAGCTTATGCTTATCAAATATGCATTTAAACAATGCGAACTTCATTCTTAAATGCAGCGGCTAAAATGCGTAGTTTTCTATATTCGGAGAGATCTTATGTACTAAGAATTGTAGCTGTCGGCACATGCCTGCCATTTATGTTGCACGGGTATTGAACACAATATGATAAAATTGTTCCAGGACGCTATCTCCCCAGGATAAAAACAGACTGCAAATAGATAATTGTAACGTTTATGTGCATAAAAAGGTTGCATACAATCAACAAAGCTAGACAATGTAGTCAGTAACCAAAGACTGTTGGTGGCCTTATGTTTCAAGATACCACAAAGACCATCTAATTGTAACGTGTAGCCAAACTTGTTAGCATATTGTAACTTAACTCTACAAAATAAACCAGGAAATACAGAACTCTTTCAAGTTTCAATGTTCGAGCAATTTTTGGTGTGAAACTTGGAAAATACCTGTGGCACAAAATCTTCTGTGAGCAGAATATTATCAGCTTTAATGTCTCTATGAATGATTCGCCTCTGGCAACTCTCATGAAGATACAGCAGACCATCTGCTGTCCCCAAAGCAATTTTGTATCTTTTACTCCAATCAATTTCATTAGCCTTTGGACCTGGAATATGCAGATGACTTAAAAAGAAAGCGCATAAACGAATAAGCAGTTTGAAACTAAGAACTGGAATCCAGAAATCATGAACATACCGTGCAGGAGCGATCCTAAACTTCCAAGTGAAAATAATTCGAAAACGAGGTGCATTCCTCCTTCAACACAACATCCAATCAACTTTGCAGTATTAGGATGATCAACATGAGCTATAGTGCCAAGTTCAGATAGAAAGCCTGCTGTTTTCTCATCTGCTGTTCCTTTCGTCAGCCGCTTGACTGCTACTAGCTGCCCACTTTTCAAGCGACCCTTGTAAACTTCTGAATAACCACCCTTTCCAATTGTGTTTTCTGCAAGAAACATCCCCACAGAGAAAATGTCATAATCAAAATGAAATTAAAAAGGTTTGTGAATTCTGCGATTATGAGTCCACATATCGGAATTGGATAGTAGATCTTAGTATCTGGCGGAAGTTACTGACCACCGTTAAAATCATCGGTCGCCTTTTGGAGCTCGGCAATGGTAAAGTTCACCAACGAAGACTTGAAGTTGGATATATTAGTCAATGCTGGATTCTCTCTTGCACACCCGATCCTTCTTCGTGATGATATCTTTGGCACACCAAGCGGAGGGAAGGAGACTAAGCGCTTAAGCGATCTCTTACCCCATTGTTTAAAGAATTTACGCCAGTGAGAAAGTGAACTTGAACTTGAACCTTGCACTGATGACTCAGTCGTGCTGTTTTCAGAAGAACTAGTCTCGGGTTCAAAGCCTCTCATGCAAGCTTCTAAAACTCCTCTAGGAGTTTGGACATCGTCCTTCTCTTTTTCCATGTCGATATACCTCAAATCTACAAAGAAGAAACCCGAGCATTACGACATAGGAATCGGAACACGAAAACAGATAAGCAAACCAAAAAGGAAGTTACCTTGGGCAGAAGCAGAAGTAAGTAGTGCTTTCTGTTTTCTCTGTTTCACCTCAGAAATCTCATCTGGGACCTTCAGTGATAATTTTTTGGGTTCATTTCCAGCTCCCCTGGATAGAAATTAATAAAAATGTTGGCGCAAAATATAAAAATCACAACAAATGAAGGACTAAAAGGGCGAAGAAATCCCCTTACGGATTATATTTCACAATTTCAGAAACAAGGTACAAAATCCATATATATCTTTTAACTTTTCTGCTAAGGTAATAAAAATTTACCAACTTCCTCAAATGCCAAAAAGGTAAAAACTTTAGACCATTTACTGTCATTGCTTGCACAGACATTAAAAACCCACACCCAATTTTCTCAAACTCAAACAAACACAGACAACAATAACCAGGCCTTAAGTGGGGTCGCTGGATGAATTCTAGAACGTCATTCCACTCAGTTTTGCGGTAAGTCTTCCGTTAGCTAAACAAACACAGAAAAAAGCAGAAAATTTCCAGATGTATACACACACATATACATACAAATATGCAAATATAGCATTGAAAACCCAAAAACCCCACCACAACAATCAACAGAAAAGCTCAGAAAAAAGTTCTAAAAAAAACTCAGATGCTGAAAAGACCAAACTTTTTTCAGATTGGCATACGAAATCCACAAAACCCAGAAGTTCACCTCAATATAAAGCATTAAAAAACGTATGCTTTAAATACATAAAAATAAAAATAAAGAAAAAAACCGAAATGAGAGAACAGGAAGGAGAAAGGAGGCATACCATGAAGAATAAGGTCCTTTCACTTCACCATTCGCCATCAACACTCTCCCACCAGATGCACAGAGACTGCTGTGCTGCTTTCTTCAACAAAGGAGGCCCTGCAAATTTATAAACCAAAATTTCTGATATTTTAAGCCACAAGGATCTGATTGTTATTATCTATATTGATAGAGAAAGGAATCTAGAAGCTAAACATTTGAACAGAGTCTCGTCCCCTTCTCTCTCTCTCTCTCTCCTCTCTCCTGTTTGACACACTATGGTTTTCGGTTTCAATGTGTTTTTTGCATCAGTCCGAAAGAGTCGCTGCTGGGTCGAACTGGGTTACTGACAAGTGTTCAGATTTGGACAGCGACTTCTGCTCACAACCTTGAATGAAAGTGAGAGAGAGAGAGAGAGAGAGAGAGAGGGTGGCCGTTGGTCGTGGGTGTAAATAAAACATTTTTTGGATTTTTGCGCAAAGTTTTTTAGTATGGAGGCTATGGTTTTTGAGATATCTCCACTATTGCACAATTAAGATGCCAAAGTTGAAAACTTTGGGGGCCTTTTTTTTTTTTTTTTTTTTTTTTTGTGAACAATTGACATTATTACACTAAAGAAGAGTATATGAGCTTAGCCTCACAATTGGTTAGCAATAATGTGATTCAAATTTGTCTTTGACTAGAATTGAATCTAAGACCTCTCATTTACAAGTGAAGAGGAATAATATTAGACCGTAGTACTAAATGGCTTCTAAAAAATATGGTTGTTCAACCGATATCAACCAATGAGGCAATATAGGCCAACTGTGCACTGACCCATAATCCTTCCATTGTTGAGAGCGGGAGGCTTTCGCTGCTATGTGAACCCAGCATGACGCATTACCCTCCACTCTAGGTGTCACATGGTCTAAGCTTAAGCCCGAGCCACATGACCCAACTCACAACTTGGAGTGGACGATTCAGTTAGTTGCAACAGCAGACCCTGCTCGATGAGTCAAACCATTGTCCTACCACCTTGGTGCCCTCACTTGAGTCACAAGCTACCGTGACTTAGCTCAACTTTAGAGTAAATATATGTGGTCATAAATCAATTAAATCGACCAAAAAGGATGGAAACCTTTTTTTGGATCTTCCCTTGAACATTTGGGAGTTGTTAAATATGTGAGATCATGTCTATAGTTTTGGCAATGATTCATTAACTTTGTTGATTCTGAGGGTTCATATTTATGGAAGAATCTACAAACAAATGCTAAACCTATTAGAAATGGTTAAGTGCATACATGAATTCTATACATTTTTTGGTATTCCATCCATACAAATACAAAGTTATAAACTTTTATGCATTGATAACATTGCTACAAATGCAAAAGTTACACCAACTAAATTGAACTTGTGTAATTATTTTCGAGAAACCTAATCACATATTGTTGGATACGCTGCATTTATATTAGAAAGTGCAAGCAATATCTCTAATGGTATTCACTTCTTTTTACAAGAAAGCGATATTTTGTCAACGACTAACAAACAATACAATATGAAATAAAGACATCCTGAATAAAATCAGAATGATCTGTAGTAGTTATGAGTTCAACATAAATTACTTCCATGTTTGAAATAAAAACAACAAGTAGTTATGAGTTTAATGGAAATTTCTTTTTTTGTTTTTTTTTTAACACCTAGAAACTAGATTTTTTTAGAGAAATTAATATAAATAAATGGTATTGTTAAAAGTACACCAAAAAAAGTATTCAAATTTTTTTTTTTTGGAACAAAAACTATTGTAAATTATGTAAGTTTTGATTACACAAGGGGAATGGGAGTAAATAATATAATATAAATAAATGGTATTGTTAATAGAGAACAACACTAGGGCTTTTGAGAAACCAAAAAAAGATGAATCCCCAATGTAAGGGAGGGAGAGGCCCCAAAACGGCATAATATAATATTTGTGGAGGAATGTTGTGTTGTCCCATCGAATACAACCTCCAATACGGTCAATAATATTGGCCAAATAATAAAGTGCTTTAAAAAAAATGCTAAATATAATATAGTATAAAATAAAATAATACTTCGCGACCGGCACGAAATATAATATGATGTTGTTCCTTCTCTTGCAATATGCAGCTTATAATATTTTCTTTACCGCTGAGGTTAAGTCTGGCAAATTGTGTTGTCGTGTTTCTTTTGTGTTTGTATCATATTCGTTATCTTAATAGATCGTGTCATGTAAAATTTGTTATTTTGACAGGTTTTTAACAGGTAACTTAATAATGATTCTATTTGTTAAAGAGTCATGTCGGGTTAATGAACATGCTAAAAATTATGATATCTAATGTCTAGATCCGGAAAACGATATCTTATCGGATTTTTAAAAAATAATTTGATAACAACCCGACTCGTTTACAAATTCTTAATTAACTAATGACCCGATAATGAACTGAATTGTTAACAGGTTGACCAAAAATTTGTGTTCGAAACGTTAGAGTAATGTGATCAATTTTATGAACGTAATATAAGTTGCTCTCATTGTTGACGTAAAGTGTACACTCCTATTACCTCAATTATTTATTAATGACAATGAAATGAAGCTAAAATTGCATGGCCTTGAATTGTCGGTGTGTATCTGTTAGGTATGGTGTTTGAGTAGTGAAATCAGATTAAGAAATGGACCCCGATATTGCCGGTTGGCTGATGTGCATTGTCTTGAGTCGTGGTTCTTTATGAACGATGGATTTATGGTTTTGGCCATGGAGATGTAGACTTTCAAACTATACACATAACAAATTTTTTGTCGGCAGATGAGTCCTTTTCCGACAAAAATTTTGATTTGTCAGCTGAATGTTTAATTAGTGAAGTATAGCTTAATCTGTAAGTCACTTACAAACTATAAATACTGTATTTGTACTATTTATTTCTCAGTTAATGAAATAACAGAGTATATTCTTTCTTTGTTTCTCTATCTAAAATACTTTCTTTCATACTCGATATCTCTCTATTTTTTTTGTAAAGATGGTATCGTGAGCCTCTCTTACACACGCATCCATATGGAGGATTCTAGTACTTCCGCTTGGTGAAAGACCACTAGCTATGCTTGCATCAGTTGCAAGTGAGAACGCAACACATGATTGAATCCTAGCAAATTATGTTGTACTATAGAGTAAAGTTGAAAAGTTGAAGTGACGAAAACCTCATTGACAATATGGAAAAGAAAAAGGTAAATTTGAAAACATGACAAATGAATTTTAGAGGGGGCACTACTTAACTTCTTAGATGTCATGAGCTATTCATTTTTAACCGCACAATAGTAACTCGTCAAAACTTCAAAAGTAAAAGTTTATGTACGCATGTCAACTTATGATTTGTCTATAAAAAGAAATCACTCTTTACATAAGGAGCCAAGTATTTTCTTCTTAGGGATAGGCTTTGAGGCTAGCCAAGTTTGATAATAAAGACAATGTGTCACATATGTCCTCAAGTTTGAATCACAAATTTGAAATGTAGAAGCAATATAAAGAAGGTGGGCTTATATATAAAAGAGGTGGGCTTTTTACATTTTGATAGATTGGCTTAGTACTTCCCCAAGATATTGGCATCCTAACAATGGACTCCAATCTTATTGAAGTGGTATGTTTGGGTTGGGGATTGCTGATGAGCCCACACCGTCCTTTAGTACATAAGTTTTCTTTCTTCTTCTGTGTATATATATTTTTTTGTGTGTGCGCGCTTGCGTGTGTGTAAATTAAGGGGTTAGTACATAAGCTTTTTAATACCAATATTAAGTGACTTTTTTTTTTTTTTTTTTTCCAAAGTTTAGAAAGAGTCATCACGCAACAATACTTTTCAACTTTTACGTAATGATTTAATGCCTTTTGATTTAGTGTGGTGAATAATTGAGGCCTACGTACTTCATGTCTCAAGAACATGATTATCAGCTTCTTTTCAAGTAACGAGCTATATATATGTTTTGAAGAGAATTAATCATGTTTTTGAGACCTAGTTTTGACCTGAGGTCCATTGCTTCAAATTCTTCACCACAGTATATCAAAAAGCGAATAATGTGTACTACACCAACTATAACGAAATCCAAATTTTTGGACTACTTTGTAATTGTATGTATCTTTAGATGATTCGAAAATATTGCCATTAGGGATGACTAAGAGCACCATTGCGGTTGGTACGCGAATACGAGGATGAGTACAGCGACATCGATAAGAACCACATGCACCACCTTTCCGGCTTTGCTCCTTCATCCGATACTGCTGCTTTTTTGTGAAGCTTCTTTTTCTTCTTCACCCTTCTTCGATTTGGATTTGGTGATTCACCAGCAGAAGCAATGGTACCAGCCATCGTCTCGGCTGATCTTCATTGCCTTTTCTTTTTCTCTCCTTGTGAACTTTACTTCACCTTTTATTTCTGTTGTCTTAGATAGAAAAGAAAATGAGATGCGAAGGAGTTTGCAGAAAATATAAGAACTGAAGTTTCAAAGAAAAATGAAACTCGTATAATCTTCTGAGAAAGTGACCAAACTTACAAGAAAATGAGAGAGAGAGAGATCAATTTATACAAAATACAGAGCTTGCTTAGCTCTAAAGCTACAGCTCCTTAACCATATGCAGTTATAAGCCATTAGAATGCGGACATCTGTCAGCAGTTTTGAATGGTTGTTCTCTACATGTCGTAAATGGTAGTCAAGCTATTTTCAAGACTGCAAGTCTCGCCCGTGAGCTTGTTGTGTATCGTAGCATCACTTTCTATATGTTTCTGTTGTCTGCTTGGCTGTTTGGCTTTTTATGAATTTAATTTCATTGCTTAAAAAAAAGAAAGAGGTGGAAGCCGAGTGCAGGAAGGTGATAGTGAAAACATTAGTGCGGATTCTCACACTGAATGAGTAAACTTTGTAGTCTTCTTGATTCGTTTTGGCATCTGAATGAGCAAAATGAATTAGTAGGTCAAATAATAGCGGTTGTACGATAAAATAATGTCGCAGTAAATGAATTAATTAAACGCGTTGATAGAGTCCTTTCTAGTTGGAGTTTTGGAACTCCCTTCTCTGAGATTAGTTCTACGAATCAAAGTTTGGTAGATGTAAGAAGTGATTTATATTGGATTTGGTGACAGAATCTTATATTGATTTAGGGTTTATCCAAGAATTTCATAATAATATGTGATTTATTTACACATGATACTATCATAATACCATTTGTATGCGTATACATTTTTTTTTTTTGGTGGACAATACTTACATTCATTCCATAACCAATTTGTCCATAAATTTACGATTAATGTATTTTCATTATATAAATTAATAATTTGAATTGTTTGTACGGTAAAATACAGTAATCACAAGAGGTGGAGTGGATAA